ATTTTAAGAACTTTAATTATCATTAAGAAAAAAAAAATAATTATATTAAAAGAAGTATATTTAGCAAAGCAACTTATGAAAAAATAAAAAGAAAGTAATAACTTTTTTCCTTTTTTTTTTTTTAATTAAAATAGATGGTTAACTTATTATTTTCTATGTAGGTTATTAATTATTATTTCATAAAAGGCTATTATTTTTTATTAACTATTTATATAAGTTTTTCTTTAGTAATTTCAACTTAATAGAACATTAAAATTTATGGGACTAAAAATATATTTTATTATTATGTTTTAGAGGTCATATTAAATAACTACTTTATTTCATATTTTATGTTTTTTTAACCTAATATATATATATTTTTTATTTTATATATTATAAATAATAAATTAGTTAGAAAAAGATCTGTGTTATCTTTATTAATTCAATTGTTTAACACTTATCAAAAATCGTTAAATAGTATATTAAGAAATATATATCTGAACTGGTAATGAAATATAAAATGAAAAACTAAATGCGCATAAAAGATATTTAAGAATTCTCTTAATAAACTAGCTTAAAATACTATTGTATAGACATGTTGCCAGTAAAAAGTATTGTCTACCTTTCTGAATATTCAATATGATGAAATATATTTTGGATGAAGTTAAGTGTATTATGCATCTTAGACAATAATTAATCAACATATGTAAATTAAAATGATTAAAATACTTAAAGTAAAAAAAAAATTTTCCTTAATTTTTTGTTTTAACTATATTTTTTTTTTATGAGAATATATGTATTATATAGTGAGTTATAATAATTCTTAGCAAGGAATAATTTTAATAAAAATATAAAAGAAATTTTTATAAAATTATATTATTTAATCTTTATAAATAAATTAAGTTATAAAGAATAAATAAAATATTGTGTTAACACATTTTAATTAAAGTATCATAAATTTTACATAAAATAAATTATTTATTTAATGTTATATTGTATAATTATGTTAGGGTTATATATTACATATAATAGCACTGTTATAATAAATAAAATCAACATATATCACTTTATATGATTTTTATTAATTTGACCATATAATACTTTATAAAAATATTAGAACGGCCATCTAAAAAATCAGTATATATATTAAAAACAACAAAAGAAAAAAAAAAATTTTTTATGACATTTTATTTCTTGTAAATAGTATTTTTTTTTGTAATTACTTTTTAGAATATATTTTAAAATTTTTTATGACAAATGAATCTAATTAATTGTGAAAAATAATTTTTATTAGATATTATATTTTATTTTTTATTAAGAATTTAATTTATGGATAATTATAAATTTATAAAAATTATTTTATATATAACCAAAGTTTTTTATGACAAATATTTATGCTCTAATAAAATCTAATGGAAAGTTCATTTAAATTGAATAAATGGCTTTCAGCAAATAGTGAATTTGTTAAGAATACTAGATATATTTATTTAGTATATTTTTATATAGGGGATTGTAAATATTATATGAAAAAATAAATAGTCATTTTGTGTTACGTTAAGTAATTATATAAAGCTTATTAAATTATAACAATTTTATAATAAATTGAATTAATGAAGTTTATTCTACATTTTTTTTTAATTAGTTTTCTCAATTTAGTACAAAAGGTTTTAGAAAGATAATAAAAAATTCAGTAATATAATGAAGTAAATAATAATTTGTATTATATAATAATAAAAACTCAATGAAGAAAAATGAAATAGAAGAAAGAAGAATGAAATTATTTTTAGATTGAAATCATTAAAAATTATTGAATACATCAAAAAATTACAAAAGACAGAATTGAAAACAAAAAGACGTTAATATTTTAATTTAAAAATGTAAAATAATATTACGATTATTTGAAGAAGAATAAACAAATGATTTAGTTTTACTTTAAATATTACTTAATAAATTTAATGAATGTTTAATGATAATTATATATAACGTTGGTAGTAATAATAATAATTTCTGCATATTTACATACATCATATTTATAAAATTATTATAATAAATGTAATCTAGATGGTAACAATAATAATAAGTTGCCTTACAGATTATTAAAAAACTTTTATAATTCTAACAGTGACAATCATAGCGATATTATTACTGTTAATAAATGCGACTGTAACTTAGTTGAATAAAGATAATAACAGTAATTAGTGTAATAAAAAATTTATTACAATTCATTATATTAAATATCATTTATGTTTATTTTACTAAAATATTCATATATAATAAAGTAATATTAACATAGGTAAGCTTTAATAGTACTTTGATACAAAATTAATATAAAAGTTGTGCTTATGGAACAATATTTTAGTAAAATGAATAGTGATATATAATAAAAATGCGAACAATAATGCAAAAAAAAAAAAAAATTATTTCATGCAATGTATAATAATGCATGTACTTGAAACTATAAAAACAATTATTACAGTTGTAATAATAAATAAAAATTATACACTTTAGTAATCATGAATTTGAATATATATATTTTAATACTGATTCTAAGTAAAATGTGTGATGGTGAAAATTGAATATAAAAAATAAAAAAAAATATTAAGTAATGTTAAAAATACTACACAATTATGTTAATATTTATAATAATAATAATTTTAGTTTTATGGTTGTAATAAATGAAATGGAGATAAAATATTTACTCTTCATAAAAACATATTAGTATGAAATAGTTTCATGTTCATAAAAATGCTAAATCGTTCCTATGCATCCATAAAAATATACATTTATTTATTATAATTTTTTTTTTTAAAATCTATTAGGATATTTTTTTGACTAATTGAATTATAAAAATAAATTGAAATATAAATTTATAAATATGAAATATATTGTTTTATATATCTTTTGGTATATTTTTCTAAATATTCATAACGTTTAAAAAATAATTAGGGTCTAAAGAAATGTAAATTTATAATAATATTTATAACATATACTTATGTGTTTTTTTTTCTTCTTTTAATTTATAATTAATCTTTCATTTTTTTCTAATATTAATATATGTAATTATAAATGAATTTAAAATATAAAATTAGACGCAAAAAACCTTATATATTTATGTACTTATTATTTTAACTACCAATTTTTTCTCCATATTATATTACAAAACCTAAATAAAACATTTTTAATTTTAAATCTAATGTTTTAAATGAAAAAAATACAAAAAAATGTTATACAATTAGGTAAATATAATATATATATATTTCATAAGATAAAAAGAAAATATATTTATAAACGCATAAATAATAATTTAAATACCATTACAAAAAAAATATTAGCGATTAACATTTTTTTTAAAACTAAATAAAAAATGCATAAAAGAAGTATAATTTTTTATAAAAAATAATTTTAAATAAATTTATTAATTTTTTTTTTAATTAATAATCATAAAAATTATAATGTTTTTAAAAATATATTCATGCAATATACACATAAATAAGCTATAAGTAAAATAATATTTTTATCGTATAATTATGTAAATATTAAAAAAAATTCTTTTATATTTTTTTAAACAATTGAGGATATATTAAATTTTAAAAAAACAAAGTGTAAACACTTCTTGTTTATTAGCGGTTAATGTAAATAAAAGGTAATTATTAAATTACTACATAATTAACCACATTAAGCAAAATATGTAACATATAACAAAAGCGGTTAAATTCATTTAACAAAGTATATTTTTATTAATATTAGCAGTTTCATTTATTAAAAAAATATGATATATTTGTAATATACGTATATTTTTTATGGAAAGAAATTATTATTTTTATATTTTTTAGGAATTAAATTAAAATGAGTAATATATTTTATATTTTAGTTTTCCTTTTTAAAATTATATATATATATGGAGACCATAAACATTTCATCGAAAAAAATTTTATGAGAGATAAATTAGAAATACTATTCTTTTAAACTATTTTTTAAGTTTTAGATAAAAGAAAATAAAAAAGTTTAATTATAAATTATTTTTAATTTTACTTTTACAAAAAAAAATGATCATTTTTAGAGTATTACATATGTTTTGTTAATATATATTTTTATTTAAGTTTTTCTTTTTTTTTTTAGTATATTTTTTAATTTATTTTCTTTTTACATTAATTTTTACGGTTATGTTATTTATATTAACAACATTATTATTAAATAAAATATTTGTAATTTACCTAATATTCTTTTACATCAATATATTTCAATATCAATAATTTGACCTTATAAATGTAAAGAATGAATGCGTAAATCTTAAGTGAAACAATAACTACAAAATAATGTATTTTTTATTTTTTTTTTTTTTCTTAACAAGCATAAAATAAAATGAAACATTATAATTTTTGGTTTTATTTTATGATTATATTCTATTTTATTATAGAAGGAAAATTGATAAAATGTATAAAATTAAAAAATAATATAAAAAAAAAGGATAATTTTAAAATATTGACATTTTATTGTAAAAATTCACTTAAATGAATGTTTAAAAAGCAGAATGTAACGTTTTCATACATTTTAAAAAATAGGCAACATAATAAGACATAGTTGAGACAATGAAACTGATTAAAAACTGTAACATTAGAAGCAAAATAATTTATTTCTTTAAAAATTGGTAAATTAATATATGAAGTTATAATAAGTAATATACAAAAATATTAAATAGAATAATTAAAATTTATATTTAACTTAATTTTAAAACTTTTTATAACATTTTATTTGCACTATTTAAGTTTATAAAATTTTTATAATGTAATTAACAAATACTGCATTTATGTGCAGATACGATAAAAAAAAAAAAAAAAATTAATTATAATAAATTTAAAAATTTTCTCATTATAGAAAAAACTGTTTATTAGAATACTTTTAGTATATGATAAAAGAAAAAGTATTTTTACATATAAACATATCATTACTCATTTTAAAAATAGACATTATTACGTAAAAAATTATATATATTTATATATGTATATACTATTCAACATAAAATGAATATATCAAAATTATTTTATTTCTTCATTTATCTAATAGTTGTCAATATAGAAGTTCCTTGCTTATCAATGCAGGCTGATGCTCCTTTTAAAGGGGATTCAAGTAATCTAGAAAGTAATAATGATACGAATACGGAGGTAAATTCTGAAAATGAGGCTCCATATACTGTTATAAATGATCTTGAGAAATATATAAATGATATTGTTTTAAAAGGATTTAATAACTCTTCACCTAATAAAAAGAAAGATTTATTAAAACATAGAGAAGGTTTGAAAAATGTTATTCATGAAATAATAAAAAGGAAACATAAAATTTCGATTAATCAAAGAGACTACATAGTTACTAAGGCTATTTATGAGCTGTTGAAAGGATCTTTAGAATTCATGGAAGACATAGATCAAGAAAAGAAAGATATTAAGAATCGTTGTTTCTGGATGAAAGAGTATCACGACAGTGTACGAAATTCAGAATGGCATGACCTTATTAAAATTATGAAAGATGAATTTACAATCAGAGAAACACCAGAGGATTTGACTAACAATGAAAAAGAAGAATTATGGGAGATGTGGTATAGTAATTTAATGAAAAGAAAGATGGAGGATGAATTAACACAAACAACCTGGTTTATCAATATGATGGATCAACAAGAAACGGAATCATCATTTAAGACATTTTTCGATAGTTCTTCATTATCATGGAATTCTTATAAATCTTATTTAATTAGTGAGATGAATAAGTTTTTAACAAGAGAAACTATGAAAAGGTCTAAGATGTCATAGAATAAAAACGTTGAAAGAATGAAAATGTAAAAAGCTAATTATATTAAGAATTGAAAAAGTTTTATAAAAAAATAGGGATTGATAAATTTCTTCAAAATTATTCATAAAGTAAATTACTATATATATAATTAATGTTAGAAAAAGTTACTTTCTATAACATTTTTGGACTCAAATAAAAATTATGAAAAATCAAAAAGAAATAAATAGGGATTTAATATATTAAAAACTAGTTTTAAAAATTGGTTAATAAAATGACTTTTAAATAGATTTATTTATATGAATTTGTAATACATTGTAGGAGATTAGTTATTTAAACATTATTTTTAGGAATGTAAATAAATATTATAGCTAAAAATGTTTTCGTCTAGTTATTGAAAAAAAAAAAAATTTTTTTTTTTTTGTAAGCGTTATAATTATATTTTTAGTTTTTGTGCAGTAAATTTTTTTTTTTAACTTTATTATTTTTTTTTTTTCTTTGGAAAGAAAAATTTAATAAGGAAGATATATGTTGATATAAAAAATTTTATATTTTTGTGTTGAGCTATAAAAAAGAATTACAAGACAATATTTGAATACATATATATTATAATTAATTTTTACATATATTTTTCTTTTGTAAAGAATATTTTATAATAAATATTTTTAATTATTATAAAGATTAAAATATTGTAGCAAAAAAGATTATTAATAAGGATTACATGCATTCATAAAGTGTTAATACACACATAACTATTTTACTAATAATAAGTTGAATTACGGTTATTAAGAAAATTTGCAGAATAATTAAGTATAAAAAAAAGTAATATTTCTAATTATAAATTATATTTTTTTTATTAATGTATTCATATATTTTTAAAAATGAGATTCTTCATAATATTCTTTTTATAATTACGAGATTAGTATTGCTTAATTTATTTTAAAATGTATTTAATGTATTAATCTTTTAATATTAAAAGTATATTTTTTTCATTATTTAGTTAGAGATATTATATTAAAGTTCACAATTATAGTTTTTTTAAAGAATGTAACATTATTATATATATGTATTAAAAGCATTTTAAGATTTAATTCTTTAATATTTATCTTTGATATTAATTATTATATAAATGTAGACTTAGATTGAGTATAGGGCTTTATTTAGCAAATGTATTAGTATTATTTAATTATATTTTGAGGATTAATTTTTTAAATCATATTTTTTATTAAATATTCATAAGTGCCATTAAAGTTATGATTTTATTTTTGTTGTTTTGAATAATTTTAAAAATACATTTAATAGAAAAAAGGCTTTTGTGAAAACATATATAAAATTTTTAATTTTTATATCTGAATTATATAAATAGCATATTATGTTAAATGTTTTTTTACTTTTTCTAAAATATAATTATATGTATTTGATTCTTTCTATTTAAAAATATTCCAAATTTTAATTAAGAATGAAGATAAAAGTTTTTATCCTTTTCATTCATTTTAAATTCTTTTGTAAATAATGACTACAGAAATAAAATTTTATATGTAATAAAATCATTAATATCTAATAAAGTTTCATATACATTATATAATTGATTGTTATCATTATGATAACTTAAATTATCGTATACATTTGATTTATCAGTTTTCTGTCTAACAAATTTATAAAGTTTTGTGTAGATAATTTCATAAATGGAATGTAGAAGAATATGTATTGTATTTATTTCATTCATCAATACTTTTGTAATAAACAAAAAACTTAAATTGTTTATAAAGGATTAATTCTTTAAAAATAAGTAAACATTAATGAGAAGTTTTCATTCATTACAAAAAATTTGTATGCAATTATAAAGGTAGTACCTTTAATAAAATATTTCATTTCAATATATGTATACTTCTATTAGAAAATGTACATAATAAAAAAAATTATTTTTCATCGCATGTATCTTCATTGGTAACGTATGCAATTTTATATTTTTCCTAATTTAAATGCAAAATTTCATTATTGTTTTTTTGAAAAAAAAAAAAAAAAAAATTATTGGAATTTTTTTTGAGAAATGTTTCTTTAGAAAAAGATAAAGATAAAAAAAAAAAAATAAAAAAAGATTTAATTTTTTTTTTGGGAGATAAGAGAATCAGAGAGAGAGAGATTTTTTTTTACAAAAGATAATGATATTTTTGTAAAGCGTTTAATTTGCATAATATTTATATTTTGAATTTGTGAGAGAAAATTTTATACATATGAAGATAAAATTTTCACGTAATTAATATGCATATAATTTGTTTGCATTTTTAATAAGTATTTGTGTTTTGTTAATTCAATAGCAATATAAAATGATAGCTGAATATAATTCATAATAAATAAACTAATAATTATAATCAATTAATAGTTAATGTTAAATAAGTGTTTAAATTTTTAATAAAATAAGGATTTATTTATTAAAATAAATAAATACCTTTTGAAATAAAAGGATGCTGAACGAAGTAATTTATGATTAAAGATCATTAGTTCAAGGCATATAAAAATATACATAAGTATAAGAAAATCGCACAGTCATCTCTACATGCTCTTTATTAATTGGTTTGTTCAGTACTCTAGCAAAGTCTCCGAACACCCAGTTAATAAATCACTCAGTGACTCTTTAATAATATTGATTTGTTAATTGGTCATTTAAGGATTTTCATTGTGTATGAATAACCAATAAAAAAATATAGGAAAATATACCCTTATTTTGCTTATTATAAAAGAAGTTTTATATTATTAATTTAATTTTCAAGAATTTATCATTAAATTTCTAATTTATTATTTATTTTAAACTTTAATATTCACATAACTAATATAATACATAATATTATTCATTTTCAACATAAAAGATACCATGCATTATAATATAGGTAAAAATTAAAACATTTTTCACACACTACAAAAAAAAAAAAAAAAAAATTATTAAACACAATAACATAATTTCATTTTTATTTATTTTTTTATGTACATAACAAAAATACAATGTACATATTTTTCAATGTATACATTTTAATGTGAGTATTGTATTTACACAATTTAAATGCACAAATAAAATTGAATTAGTTTTACATTAATTTTTATTACAAGAAAAAATAGATCGACAATTCTACTTTTTGACTAACTATTGAACAAACTAATTAATAAAGGGTGTGCATAACAGTTTCTATTAGTTTTAATTATTGTAAAAGCATACTTATAGGAGTATTTTTATACATGTACATTACATAACATAATATTTATTATGTTAAAAGTTTTTTTTTGTTTTAATAAAATTTTATCTTTATTTTTATTAAAATTTAAATACTACTTACAAAAACATTATATTACATGTAAAATAGTTATAAATAAAATAAGAATTTTAAGTTGTAGTCAATGGTATTTTCAAAACACTAAAAATTAAGCATTAACAAAAATTAAGTTCTTTTTGTATTACTTTAAAGGTTCAATTTAATTTTTCTTTGCTATTAATTAATTCGATTCCTAATTATTCTTGAAAAAAAAAATAAAATTTTTTTTTTTAGTTTGTTATTCTTTCAAACAATAAATGTTCAAAGTTAAATTGTTATTTTTTGCATAATTTACTATCTTTTAATAAAAGGCTAATGATATAATTTATTAAATACTAGTTGACTCTTTTACACTTACTGTTTTAAGTTGAATTTACAAGGACAATGGTATAGTGTTAAAAATATAAATGAATAGAGAAAATACAAAAACACATATATAACATTGATTATAAAAATATGTTCTTTTAATAATAATTTTAAAATTTATTTTAATTTTGTGTTTAATTAAAAACATTTAAGCAATAAAAGAGATTACTTTTATTACATATAATAAATATTTTACGTTTATATAGCCGTAATATATAATCTATAAATAGTATTATTGACCTGTTTTAAATATCATTTATTTAAATATAGTAAAAACAATTTATTTGGTGCATGCTAAAATAGGAAGAAAATTTATACATATAAATGCGTATATTAAAGAAAAAAAAATTTACATACATAAAAAGTGGCTTACTAAAAAAAAATGTATATTTTCACTAAAAATAAATAAAAAAAGATATATTTTTTTTTGTAACTTTAACTTAAAAAAAAATTAATTTTTTTAAATAAAAATATTTTTTTTTTTGTAAAACATATTGTAGGGTATTCTTTTTTCATAAAAGATTAAAAATGCGCTACATATGGAATATTGTGTAAATTAAAAATAGCAACAATTATTTATTAAATTAATATTTAATATTAATAATAGTTAATAATTAAATTAATATTTTAATTTAGTAAAAATAAAATAAGTACATTTTTTTCTACATTCTCTTAATTAATTTTGTTTATTCAATACTAGAAAAGTCAATGAACGTGCAATTAATAAATAAATACTTTAAAAACATTCTCCATAGACATTTTTCTTTATTTTTAAGTACTTAATATATGTTAAACTAAAATTTTTCTTACATAACAAAAATATACATCTTATGTGAGCAAATATTCTATTAATATTTTTGTCTTGCGGTATTTCTTCTCATTATTATTCTTACATAATTCATGTATAGATTAATGATACCTTTGCTTCTTTTAAAAAATGTACCTCTTAAAAACGTTTTGAATTTGTTAGTGACATTATTAAACTTTTTGAGAATAAAAAAATTAAAATCGGTAAGGAAAATTAATAATTAACCATGTGGTTAATGAAAATTATTATTATCCTTTTTGAGAATAAAAAATGATATCGGTATGGAAGATAAATAGCCATGCAAAAGTTAAGTAAAAAAAAAAAAAAATTGTTAATTCTTTTCTTGCTTTTTTTTTGTAAATTTAAAATATATAAAATAATATATTTATTTCTTTTTAAAAATTAAAAATTTGTCCTAAATTAGAAGAAATAGTTGAAGAAAAAGTTTCTCGTAATATATTTTTGCTTAAATTTTTATAAGAAAAGTTTATACTAATGGTTAATAAAAGGCTTTATTAACCTCTTTGGAAAATAAAAGGAATAGTTAAATGAAGAATACGAAGTTGGTCGTGCGAACACACACAAAAAAAAAAAAAAAAATTGATGATTTTTTTTTGTTTGTACTTTTTAAAAAAAAAGTACAAAGACTGCCAAGAATAAAATTTGTTAAAAAAATGCAAGGACTGTCAGGAAAAAAACTGATTAAAAAAATCAATGAGAAAAATATTTGTTACCAATAAATAAAAAAAAAAAAAAGAATTTTTTTTTAGGAAATGAAATAGTTTTTGTGATGAATTTTGTAAAAGAAAATTTTATACATATAACAATACAATTTTCATGTAATTAATATTTATATAATTTTTGATATTTGTCAATAATTGTTTTATATTTGTTAATTCAACAGCAATATATGTTAATTGCTGAATGTAACTCATAATAAATAAACTAGTAATTTACAATTAATTAATAATTAATGTTCAATAAGGATTTAAATCTTTAATTAAAATAAAGATTTTTATTAAAGTAAATAAATGCCTATTGAAATTAAAGAATGCTGAATGAAGTAGATTACATAATTAAGGATCACTCCTTCAAAGCATTTAAAAATATATATAAATATATCACAATAGTAGAAGCAGCTCTACATGCTCTTTGTTAATTTGTTTGTTCAATATTCTAATAAAGTAACCGAACACCCAGTTAATAAAACAACTAATAACAAAATTCTCCCGTTTTCTAATATTTTTATAATTTTTTTTTATATTCTATTAATTGTTCATATTTGTTAATTTGAGAGTAATGAATTTAAATTGCTATATACTAATCATAACGTTATAAATAAAATATATGTAATTAAAAACAATAATTAATGATGGCTTATACTTTTGATAAAAGTGGGGATTTTTATTTAAGTAAATAAATGCCTTTTGAAAAGAATATATGTTTAAAGAAGTAGACTAAATAAAAGCAGTTTACTGGTTTATAGTATTCAAACTAAATTTAAATTTATTAAATTAGTTGAGGAAACTTTTCATGTTCTTTATTAATATATTTGTTCAACACTCTAGCAAAGTCATTGAATAAACAATTAATAAATCAATAGTTTACTTCGTTGAGTATGTATTATTTTTAAAAGATTCATTTATTTTAATAAAAATTCTATATTTTTATAAGAAAATTAAATTCTTTTTATATATTTTAATTACATATATTTTCTTTGTAGTGTTATGAATAATGTTTATCAATTTATACCCATTGTTCTTAAATTAACAAACATAAATAATTAAAAAAATACAAAATAAATTATGAAAATACTACAAAACATGAAAATTTTATTATTGTTAATTTAAAATTGTCATATAAATTTAAACAAAATATACTACAAGATACTTCTTAGTTAACAACTCCTCTTTTTTAACTTTTTGGATATTATATTATCTCCAAAAAACGTAAACATATTTTTTTATGTATTTTAAATTTACAAAAAGAAAAAAAAAAAAATTAAGTGATTTTTTCTTTTTATCTAGCACTTTCATTTCTTACTATTCATTTTCCATATGTCTATTACTTTTTAATTTCAAAAAGATTAATAATATCTTTTATTAACCAAATACTTAAACAAATTAATAAAGAGCATGTAAATTTCCTATTCTGTGTTAATGAATTTAATTAAAGTTTTTAATATTATAAACCATTAGATTGTATTTATGTAGTTTACTGAGAAATCTTCTTTAAAAGGTATTTATTTATTTTAAAAATTTTTTTATTTTTATTAAAAATCTAAATTCTCATTAATTATCAATATTTAAAGTATAAATCTTTTAATTATAATACTATGAATAATGTTTAGAGATTTGATTAAAAAATAACATTACAGACATCTTTTGCACTATATTTAGATGAATAAATGACAAGAATATATTTTTTTTTTAGTGAATAAACGTTTTAAATAAACAAATTTTATTTTGTGCATATTGAATCGTGCGGACAATGTGAACTCATAAATGTGTGTACTAAAATAGTTATTGAAAAAGTATGTAAACTAAAAAAAAAAATATCACATATATATTTTCTTTTAGACACATGACGTTGGCTTAAAAAAAAAAAAAATATTATCACAATATTTTTTTTTATTTTCCTTTTTTTTTGTCATTTAAAGAAACATGTAATCTTAAAAAAAAAATTTTTTTTTTTTTTTTTTGGATAATATATATATTACTATGGAATTGATTTATTAATTACCTGTTCAGAGACTTCGTTAGAGTACCAAACACACAAACTGATGAAGAGCAAGTATAGTTTCCACTACTAATTTAATGAGTTTATGTATAATTTTAAATGTTATAAAACATGTAAACTGTATTTATATAGTCTACCTCGTTGGGCATTCGTTATTTTCAAGAAACATTTATTTACTTTAATAAAATCTTTATTTTTTATTAAAAATTTAAAATATCACTAATTGTTAATTTTTTTAACGAAATACATTTTTATTTATAATATTCTAAGTAATGTTTAGCAACTCGAGTCCACTGCTTTCATGTTAACAAAAATAAGTGATTAATGAGGCACAAATTAAATTTTATAAACATTACAAACGTGGAAATTTTATTATTATATATATAAAATGTTCTCTTAAAAATTCATTATGTAAGAAAACTCTTTATTCCATAAATTAATTCTTATATTTTTAAATAACTATTTTCCGACAATATTTACTCTCTTTTTTTTCTTCAAAAAAAAAAAAATATTGACAACTAATTTTTTTTTATTTAGAGGTTTCATGGTTATGTATCTTACATACAGCTATTTATTTTTTGATTCTTAAATAGGTTAACAATCTCTTTTATTAATCAGGAATGTGTATTTTTTTTAGTTGTAATATTAAAGAAATTACATTTTTGGAGTGTTGTGTATATTAATTTAAAAAAAAAATTTTTAAATAATAAGTATTTGATCTTGATTAATAAAAATAAAGATTTTAAATTAAAATCTCAATTAAAATTAAATTAAGCATAGTTTACCTCATGTTCTGTACATTAATTTTTTCAATAAAAATAAAGTCATTGAACAGGCATTTAATAAACGACTATTCAAGTGCATTTCCTTTTAATTAATACAAATACGTAATTATTAATAGACTAACGTGAATTATATAGTTACAAACAAGTAATATTTTATTATTAAAAGTATAAAGTTTTCTTTAAAAGTCTCAAAAAAAAATTCAATCTCCAAAGAAATGATTTCACTAACTAAAAAAATTTAAAAAAAAAATTAAATTTTAAAATTCTTAATTAAATATAACTGGTTAATAAAAGGTAATATTAACTTTTCTGGAAATAAAAAGCTATAACTATGTGGAAAATCAATATCCAAGCAAGAGCTAGATAAAAAAAAAAAAATTTATTTTTTTTTGTTCTATTTTTGTATGTTTTAAATACATAAAAAAATATACTTATTTCTTTTTAAAAGTTAAAAATTTTTCAAAAATTAAAAGAAAGAGTTGTTGGATAAAAAGTTTCTGTAGTATATTTTTGTCTAAATTCATATAAGAAAATTTTATATTTTCTATAACAAAATTTTCGTGTCTTGTATATTCTTATAATTTGTATTATATTTTGTTAATAATTTATATTTTTTAATTTAAGAGCAATGAGTATGAATTTCTAAACTTTGTTCATAACATTATAAATAAAATATATGTAATTAAAATAATAAAAAGGATATAATTTTCTAATAAAAATATAGTATTTTTATTGAAGTAAATAATTGTTTCTTAAAAAAAATAAATGTCCATAGAAATAGATAATGTATAAAGCAGATTATTGATTTATAGTATTAAAAATAAATTTAAGTTAATTAAATTAGTAGAGAGGGCTCTTGATTCTTTATTAACCTTTTCAATACTACAGCAAAGTTAGTGAACAGATAACTTAACAAATCATACATAAACATTATATAACAAAATATTTTTTATGTTATAGTTATTTATTTTAATATAAATTTCTTATTTTTTTTATTAAGGTTTAAATCCATAGGAAAACCTTTCATTACATGTAAAATAATCTTTTTAAATATAATAGTAATTTTACTTCGGAGCTATTAAAATTCTTCTAAAATATATAAAAATTATATACTTATAAAAAAACGAAACCCTCTTTTTTTTTCTTATAAAACTCCACATTTATTTTTATTCGGCTGAAAAAAATTTTGAAAACACCATTTGATAAGTACATATAAAAAAAAATATAAATTTAAAATTGGGAATTTATTTAACAAAATAACATACAAAAATATAAAATAGTTAACTCTTTTTAAGTAGATAATGCACATAACTTCGATCTTTTGTATAAATTAATCGCTTTTATTTCATAAAAGATCAATTATATGTTTTATTAATCACATAGTAAACTTTTTGTTTTACCTGCATTTTACTATTATTTTATAAAAGAATAACACACTTTATTGTCCAATAGTGTGCAACATCCTTCGAATAAGAAATTATTATATTAGCTAAAATTAGGTTTAATATTTGAATTTACTTTATATGTATACAAAACAATATTTGATAAACAAATTTTTAACAAAATATTTAATTTTTGAATTATTTGTAATAATTTAAAAAATTCAATATAATAAACAATTTATGAATATTTCCACTTTTGGTATTAGTTCCATTTTACATAATATTAACAGCATATTAAGAGTAAACATTTTAAGGAAAGATACTATAAATATGATGATAATAATTTTTTTTCTTATAAGATTATGCAAATGAAATATAAATAATAGTTATAGTTTATAATTATTTATATTATAATATACTCCAATATATATATACCTATTTTTTACTCACATTAAACAAATTTGAATATTTCTATAATTTCCTCTTTAAATCTGTCGATTTTTTTATGTTTTATTCTTAACATAATTATTCTACCACTAAAAGCTCAAGATGAAAACATATTTTCTAACCAACCTTCAATATCAGCTTTAACATTATGATAGTATTCCATCATACTCTGCACCTTCTTGTATTTTATTTTTTCCCACTCTTCATAAGCTTCATTGGTACAATTTGGATTATAATTTTTAAATTTTCTTTCTTTAAGATCTTCTTTCCATTTATTAAACATTTCATTATCTGCATCTATCTGAGGTTTATACTTTTCAAATATAGAAGAAGATTTTTTAAACCATATATCAATGTTCTCCTTAATTTTTTCATCATCTTTTGATTTAATAATTACTGTTAACCATGAAGAAAGGATTATATTCGAATTATTACTTTTTTGTTTCTTATCTAGTTCTCCCCACTTGGTATTTACTTCAATTTCAAATTTATCCCATGGGCTTAAGTTTACTCCAGTTGCAAAACCTTTATTACCTTCTTTATTATTTTCTGTTAATTTCCTTATATAACTTACATTATAGGATGAACAAAAGCTACTTTCATAATTTTTTTCATATGTATTCTGTAGCAATTTTTTAAAAAAAAGATTTAATATATTTTTTTTTTTTTTGTTATGATTATTTTAAGTAAATATATTAGATAAAAATATAAAACATATTTATATAAGTGAAAAGATTTTTACGTGCAACAAAAAAAAAAAAAGGAAAGCGAAAAATTGGATAAAAGGTCTTGAAAAAATAATATGTGTGAAATTTATTCTTTTGAACTTCCTATCTTTATTAACTGTTGAGAAATCATAACTTTTTATAACTGCATTCCATGGATGTGAAATTTTTGAATAAATACCACTTGCAATATTATAACTCATATTTAATTTTTATTTTTTAAAAATGTAATCTATTTCTTTTATAAATAATGTTATTTAATTAAACTATAATATTATTTATAATATTATAAATTCTTATTAGTTAAGATTAGTGTATTATATTTTTTTATGAAAAAAATAATGTTTAATTTTATAAAATTGTAAATGAAGAATAAAACTAAAAATTAAAAAAAATAAATAAAAAATATTATTCAAAAGTATTTTTATTAAAAGTGTAAAAAATTAAAAATATTCATAAAATGATTATATAATAACAAAATTAAAATTAAATCAAATACAAAAATAATAAATTTTATAAAAAACAAATTAACAATTAGTATTCTGTTTATAATTTTATTTTCTATTCGAAAATAAAATTATAATGAAAATAAAAATTTATTTATATATTTTTTATTTATACAAATTACTCAGTATAAATGAATATTTTGATTTTTATTTTTATTATTTTTTTTTTTTAATATGTATTTTGAACGCAAAAAAAATATAAATTTATTAATTTTTTCTCTTCATATTTTAAGAGTTATTTATACATAATAATTATTTAAAACTATGTGAAAATTTTGTTTTTTCATATGGTTAAATCATTATTTGAATTATATAATTAATTTATATTATTTATTTTGTCTCAATGTATATATAAACATGATTTAATTATTATTATAATGAAACATAATTAACGGCTATTCTTTATTTTATATTATATTACATTATTTTATTTATAAATTAAGTATAAAAATTGATATATTTGAAGTTATTTTCACATAATATATTTTATTTAAAAGTATATTCCTTTAATTATTTTTATTATAAATTCATAATATATTAAGAAGAATATTAGTTTATATTTATGATTTGTGAAGATAAAAAAATATTTTCTAAAAATTGTTATATTTAAAATAACTTCACTACAATCATTAAATTTATTTTAAAATTATAGAAATTCATAAAAATGAGTACAAATGAAAAATAATAGAAATGACGTAAACGAATTCGTACATTTCTGCATTTTTTTGATCTCCGTTCCTTTGTGCATTTGTCAACTATATATTTGTTTATTTATGCATTTATTTTCAAAAAAAAAAAAAAAACGAATTAGTAATAAAAAAAATTAAACATGTACATACTTTTAAAAAATAAATAAAAAAAACAAAATAATTATAAATATAAAATTAAAAAAATGTAGAAAAAAGAAACTAAATATAGTAAGAAAATTTAAACAAATAATTAAAATAAAAAGATAATTAGAATATTATAATAATAAAAAAAAAAAAAATAATAAAAAAAATTATTGATTATTTATATCTAATATATTACCTGTTCAATGATTTTGCTAGGGTACTAAGCAAACATACCAATAAATAGCATGCATAATATTCTATACTGATTTAATGAATTTATGTATAATTTTAAATATTATAAACAAGTAAACTGTATTTATATAGTTTACATTGTTGAATATTTATTGTTTTCAAGAGAATTTTGTTTATTTCAATGAGAATCCTATATTTTTATTAAAAATTTAAATACTTTTTAATTTTAAATTTTTAATTACATATATTTTTTTCACAGTATTATGAATAATATTTAGAAATTCAAGTTATTTGTATTCAAGTTAACAAGCATAAGTAAATAATGAAATACAAATTAAATTGTATAAATATTGCAATCATTAAAATTTTATTATTATGTATTTAAAATTTTCTTTTAAACTTCAAAATCAAAATTCACAGCAAAGAAACTTATTAGTCATTAAATTACTTCTTATATTTTTTCTTCATTATTTTTTTTGATGATTAAATCTTTTTCTATGATCCGTTAAGAATTTCTTATAAAAAAATAAATATATTTTTTTATGTATTTAATTTATAAAAAAAACCAAAAAAAATTATCAAATAATTTTTTTTTCTTTTTTATATGGTACGTGTGTGACTAACTACAAAATTTCGCCATAACCAATATCTTTATTCCAAAAAAGGTTAATAACTCTTTTTATAAACAACATTCCAATACCAAGAGGAGAATAATGATTACCACTGGAAGTTTGTTCCATTTAACGCATTTTATTAGATCAAGTCTTTTTTGTACTTCAATTTCTTTGTCCATATTATTACTAGTTTTGCAAAACATCATGCTAATTCTTTTGTAAATGTTGAAATAATCTTTATGGTATAATGTAAACATGGAGTTTAAATTTTTCTTATCCTTATTAGTAAATTGTGGTAAATTTTCCAAGTACGTTTCATATATCTCTTTAATTTTGTTACTCAGTAGATTAATTTTAGTTAACGAAATTTGTACTTTTTCACCTTTATAATATGTAGGTATCGCTTTTAGAATTCTATTTTCATTTTCAGTTCCTTTATAAAGAAATGACCACTGTGGTTTACATTATATGTTTCCACTATAATGCTACATTTTATTTCTTTCGTATTCTGATAATTTATAAGAAATAATATCTCCGATCCTAATGTCCCTATTATCAATTATAGGTTATCTTTTAATTTCATTAATATCTTCAAGTACGTTCTTCATTGATTATTTAAATAAATGATTCTTATTCCAGAAGTCGTATATGGTAATATTTTTGAAATCCCTGGACATATACAGTTCATTCCAAATATAGAAAAATGTGGTATTTCTCCTATCGTTCCACATGATGTATTATTATATATTAACACCATATTCGGTACTATTTATCCTAAAGGTAAATCCTTCTTTTCATATAAAGTTTTAATTATATAATCTAAACTTTTATGAGAGCTTTCATTTATACCACTTCGATGTGGATAATATGCGATGGTATTGTATAATTTTATCTATAACTTTTTAGCGTTATATTTTTGGGATTCTTGACTCTTGTAAATTGATTCACGATCTGTTAAAATAATTTGGGTGTATTCAAATATGAGTTCCCATGTTATCTTTATAATGTTAATTTACATCCATAATATTAAGTGTTGAATTAGTTGTATTTATAACGATAAAACGTAATAATGAATTATCACTTGTATAATGTATTCCGTACCTTTCCATGTTTTAGGTTTTATTAATTCCAATGAAATCACATCAAATGCATTAGATTTTAACAAATCCTTGATATTATTAAACTTAAATTCCATATTATTACTTGACAAATTAAAGAATTTGTAACGTATTCTTCAACATTTTTACGTATATTGAGACATCAAAAGTGTTTTTGTATTTTCTTTAGCGTTTCGTTTACTTCGCGATATCTTGCAAAATTACTAATATGAAACCAGTACATTAAATTATTTCTACATTTTACTGATGTGTATAATCTTTCTATCATATAGTCAACTGGTAAATTATCTTTTTATATTAGATCTCTTGGTATGTTAATGTTGTCTTTTCTTACTACATCTTCTATTTCTTCACAAGATGGTATAATATATAAATCTTCATGTATTCCTTGAGGTTGATTATAATATAATGTCATGTAATTTCGAAGATCCGTTTTATCTTCCATTAATTTAGTAATCCAATAAGCTTAGTTATTTTGAACTCTTTCATTATATTCGAATTCTAGGTTAAATTCACATAATCTCAATTTCCACCGATGTAATTTTCTTGTATTAGTTGAATCCATTTCTATAATATCTTTACTATATGTTTTAATCAATATCATGGATTCATTTATATAATAATCAAATATTTCACCTGCTACTACTGTTGCAAATAATTCTTTTTCAACCGTACTACATTTCCGTTGTATGTCATTTAATTTTTTTGACATACAGTGAATGAATTTGGCATAATCTGTATAATTATCTGAATCAGTACAGCTTCTATAGCATAATATGATGCTTCTGTGTAAATAGCATTAGGTTTTCTTATACCTGAGAATGTAAAATAACTTATTTCATCTATCTTTGATTAGATCAAATGCTTTTGAATGCTTTTCGTTCCATTCAAGTTTCTAATTCTTAGTTAACAATAGAACTAATTTAGAACTACATCGTTAAAAATTCTTAATATGATTTCTATAATAATTACTAAATACTAAGGATGATCTTTCCTTTTTGATTTAGGCTGTTCTATCTCAATGATTATTTTCACTTTATCTGATGAAGATCTTATTTCATTTTGATCTATTTTCTGTCCTAAATAAATTATAGGTGTTTTAAAAAGTTTGCACTTTCCTATGTTTATCTCCAAATTACTATTTCTAAGTAGTTTAAATATTCTTTCTAACACATCTAAATGTTCAAATAGTGTTTTTATAAGAATGATGATTCCATCAATATACACAATTACATAATTCTCTTGAATTAATTCCATGAAAATATCTTCCATTGTTCTATGGAATTTTGTGATACTTGTTTTTAATCCAAGCAGTAAAACTTCAAATACATATGTTCCTCACTTAAGCACTATAAATCCAGTATAGGGTTTACTACCTTCATTCAACGCAACACTTGAAAACCCATTTTTAAGATCTATTTTTGAAATTCATTTGGTTCCGTGAAAAGTTTGAAATATATGTTTCATATATGGAGTGACATATAAATCTATTTAAATAATGATTTATTAATTAATTATTTAATAACTTTTCCTGTAATGAACATACAAATTAATAAAGTATATATAGATCGAACTCAAATTTAATTATTACTTAATTAAAATTTTAAATTTTAAAAAATCTTTCAACTTAAAATAAAACATACTCTCTATTATAATTTGAACACATGCTACATTCTTCAAAAAAAAAATATCTAAAAATTTTTTTTTTTTTAAAAAAAAAAATGAAAAAAATATATGATAATAATACATTATTTTTTTTAAGTCAGCCCCATTTACCAAAAAAAGAAAATGTGCAAAATGTTTTTTTTTTTTAAATTGTAGATACATAAAATAAAAATTGTTTATTAAACAATTTTTTTTTAGTTACTCATTTTCTCTGCAAGTATATATATATTTTTTGTAGTATGCCATATTTGAGTAACTACTTTAGAGTACTCGTT